GTCGCCGAATCAGGTAGGTTCATGGGAGGTTGAGGAGGACCATGGGGACTTCAGGATCCTTCCTCATAATGAACGTTGATGACGATTTTACAGTTTACGGAGTCTTCGATGGTCATGGCTTGCATGGCCACAACGTGTCCAATTTCGTAAAGGAACAGTTGGTGAAGGTAGTAGTAGTAGTAGTAATAGTAGTAGTAATAGTAGTAGTAATAGTAGCAGTGGTAGTAGTAGTAGTAGGGCCAGCGCTGCAACGCTGTTTTTTAGTTGATTTTGGAGCACCCTAAGGAGTCCATTCAGGAGGGGGCACAACTGGATAAAGCCTTGAGGACGTGGTTCCCAGCGATACAGGATAAATTAGAGGTACTCAAAGAGTTGACAATGGAGTGGTATGGATTTGTCATAGCTGGCGACCAAGTCGGGTGAACTTGATGCGTCTTGCAGTGGAAGCACATCCACCCTTTGCGTCCACTGGTGAGCCCCTCGAGTGTCGTCCTAGTCTATGCCCTATATCCGCAGCCATGAGACGGATACCATCACCGCGGCATGGGTCGGGGACTCTAGGGCAGTGCTAGCGTACGGCTCGTCTCCTACGGTGGTGGAGATGACCACGGACCATCGCCCTGAGCGGCCACAGGAGAGGGCTAGGATAGAAAAGACTGGGGGAAGGGTAGTCCTAGGCGAGAGTTGATATCTGGTGGTTTGGTTGTGTTTCAGGTTGGCTATGACGGTCATTGTTGCTACCGGGTTTATGTGAGGGGTCACAGCTATCCTGGTTTGAATATGTCTAGGGCCATGGGGGATCTAATAGCGTACTATAGAGCAGGAGTTATACCTACTCCTGATACTCGGAGGAAGCAGGTGGTGAGGGATCCTGAGCGGAGTAGCCCCTCGGGGCTGTCGTATGTGTCTAACAACTTCTCGTGGCACCCTGGAGACCCGTTCTTGCTCGTGTGCAGTGATGGTGTGTGGGAGTTCATATCGTCTGATGAGGCTGTTAGCCTAGTGAGCATGATCCTTACTAGTAGTAGCCAGGCTCAGGAAGCTGCGGAGTTCCTCGCTAAGAAGGCGTGTAGGAGATGGCTAGACCAAGGGGGAGGTGTTGTAATTGACGACATCACTGTCATTGTGTCGTGCCTTATGCCTCATCCCCGATCGCCTCGATCTCCTCAGTATTATTAGCATCTTGTATCTATGGCAAGTTTTATGACTAACGTAGCGCTGTGCTCATTCTTTGTGAGTCTTCTCCTCGATTTCGGCTGTTGCTGGCAAATAGCCAGTGGCAATTCGGGTTAGGCATGCAGCTCATGATATGGCGAAACTGGATGGAGTCGTCGTCCATTTTAATGATGGTGATTGTGAAGTGTCGAAGGTTGTGTTTTGGGTGGGCGGATGTGCTGGGCCTCAGCTAAGTCTTGTTTGCTGATGCCGAACGTGAATGATGCGAAGAAAAAGCTGATGGCGTCGCAGGGTTTCACGCCGCAGGTGGTGTTGATAGGTCCCGGGTTCGATCCCTGAGGGCGGTGTATTTTTCTAGATACAAAATTCATTTTCGTCGGAGGATATTCGAAAGCTGTACTACAGCACTTCTACGAAGGAAGCATTTGTTGACAAATCGTCTATACTGAAAGAGACCAATCCTGCTATCAGGAGGAGCACTCAGAACTTGTCACGCGTCCACAAAATAGACGAGGATATGGCACGACGGGGTGAGCTCTGTGTGTCTAATCAAAACCATAATGCGCGTTTTACAGGCGAGTTCAAACCTAACAGAGCGCCCTTTTGGCCACGGGATATGTCTGCCTATCGGGAGCAGTACCAACCGCTGCCCTTGCACGGAGCAGTCGTAAATAGAGAGCTAGCGAAGACCTTCCGTCCTGCGTCGAGTAACGGCGAGTGGGCTTGGGCTGCTCTAGGCTGGTCTTGGACAGGTCCAGCTGGAGGGCCTAGCCCCAAACAGAATGGAAGGAGTAGATACTCTGACGACTACGTGGTGTATCCTGGAGCTCGGAAGGAGGCTATGCTGAAGCCAGCTGTGCAAACACATATCGATCGAGAGGCATATCTTTTGTAGGGGGTCGACTGAGTCTCTTTTGTGGGTGATAAATCTACTCTAGGTATAAGCAGCCGATTTCGCATGAGTTCTATCCTGACTGGCAAAGGGACTCTGGAGGGATGGAGTGCGTGGGGAAGAGGTGTAAGCCGCCATTGCCGAAGCCTACTACCAGCACCATGGGCTTTCATTTTAATGCTCGGACGAGATATAGGTGGGGTACCACTGATTGGAAGGTTTAGAGGTGGCGGTCTCCTCAGTGAGGACTACCCAGTCGGCTCAGGAGCTGACTCGGTGTTGGCGATAGAGGGTAGGAAGAGCTGTAAGGTGCTCCTGGAGCATGGCAGCTACGCTGAGGATAATAGTAGTAGAATTCAAGGAAATGCGGTACCCAATAGAGTGAGGGACTT